TGCGCAGACTCAGCAGCTCTTCGTCACATCCTCACCATCATCAGGGTTCTCCGACAGACTGCGCGGATTTAGCCGATTTATTTATTTAATAACTGATTATATAACACTCCGCCACTTAAGACGCACTCTGGCACGAGCTGATCGTCCGCAACCTACCAGTAAGTAACATTTCTGTGGAAAAATAACATTCATGTTGTAGTGCCTGCAGGGGTGTGGGGGGTGTGTGTGTGTGTGCGTGTCTTTGTTTTGGGATCGGGTACAATGTCTTCTTTGCACGCCTGGTGGAAAAACCGCTAAATCACAAGGACAGGTTATTTATTTATATCTGAATGTACGGAGGATTGATCGGTGTCACATTTCCTCCATATTATGATCCACGCTGGTGTCATGAACGCACCACGCTATTGTCCAATTCTACTATCATTAGCACTGACTGCTGTTTCAGCCTTTAATTAATTTGGGCAGTTTTATTAAGGCTGGCAATGTGATTTCCTTATGTTTCGCTATTGGATATAATAAAACAAGGTGAAAGCGAGTGAAATACGGGATTGTATGCGTGAGTACAGCTCTCGAAAGTCAACACAAAATTCACAGAGAATCCCTTTTTGTTCATTTTGTTGGATAGTATTGGGTATCAATGGGATGTCATTACGTTTCGCTAGTGTAAGACAAGATGTAAAGCGAGTGAAATACGGGATGTTTTGCATAGTGTGTGAACACAGATGTCGAAACTCAATACACAATTCACACACTGCTTTTTTTTATTGATTTTGGCAATTTTATTGGTGTTGTCAATGTTATTTCCTTAAGTTTCGCTATTGGCTCAAATGAAACAAGAGCAAAAGCGAGTTAAATATGGGATTTTTAGCATCCAAACTGAACGCAATTTACGTTTTTATTAAGGCTGTCAAAATAATTTATTTACGTTTTGCTATAAAAAGAAGGCAAAGGCAAGTGAAATATGGGATTGTGTGCAGGGTGCATGAATACAGCTCTCGAAAAACCAACACACAATTCACACACACTGCCTTTTCATGACCATGGGACCGGAAACAGATTTGTGCCTAACCCGGGCCAGAGGAGACATGACCCTCTTTAGATCTGTGGCTTCATTTCTGCTCATCCAGATGTTCTCCTGCTGTGTGAAAAAACTAGAGTAAACTCAGTGTTTGAGTCCATGCAGTCTCATTATAAAATATATTGTAGTATATCATCAATAATGTGTGGGTATACTTCTGTGTGTGTGCAACATAGAGGCTTTATTATATCATGCGTGTGTACTTCCGTTTGAGTAGGATTTGTTGTTCATTTGGGGATGGGGCGCTGACATCACGAACTCGAGACGGCGTGCTGCAGCTGCTCTGACGTCACGCCGTGCCTGCATGACTATCATCACAGGCGACATGAGGGGGTGTAAAAAAAGAAACACACACGACACAGTGGGTGTTTCTCAATGTCGAGGACGCTTCCTTGGCAGGACATGTCTTGGTAGAATACAAAGGAGCCTGGACATTGGAGCAGTCCTTCGGCGGGACTCGATGACGTAGCATCCTTGAAATAGTGGCTCTGGAGCATCCTTCCTTGACATTGAGAAACACCCAGTGTTTGTGTTGAGGGGGAGGGGGGGGGGGGCACCCCTGATGGAGATCTTATCTTAACCTTGGGAATAGCACTGTGTGGAGAAACGAGTCTGAGGTATATTGAAGGTCACCTGAATAAACAGGAATGTGTTGTGAGTGTTAAATATGGGAGGCAGTGTCTATAGCCATTGCACTACTCAATTACATATATCAGATATATAATCAGAACTGTGCTCTTAAACATGCGGAGGTGTAGTGAAACACTCAAACCCACACTTCATGCTTTTAAAGAGATATACAAATTGTAAATCAGTTGGATTATTACGACCCAACCAACACACTATTTATTAATGTATCGGCTGTAACATTTAGGGATGTAGTTGATATTAAAAGTGCAAAGATCATGTACCAATTTGTTATTGTATGCAGATATCTTTCTTTTAAAGTGTCAAAACAAATACATGTCTATTTTAGGAAATGTTGAGCAATGGCCTAGATACATGAATACTTTCATAACTAAAACAAACTCATCCAACCGTAACTCTGATGTGCATTGAATAGCCTACACTGCATTGATTCTTCCCTGCATACACTGAAGAGTAAGGATGCATGGGCAGATATGAAAATGAAACCTCCACATGTATTATTAATATACCGTGCGGTGAGTTGCTTTAGAGATAAACCTGTAGTATTATGATCATGGGGATTGCAGTGCTTTGGATATCAGGACAACTCCCAAAGGCTTCAGGTTCAATATAGAAAATGTGTGTTTCTTTATATTTGATGAAGCTGGATTAAAGGGGCAATCCAGTCATTATACTTCCCAAGGTCAATTTACCTTTCATTGGGACTAATCTGGTGAAACATGTTGTGTAATGTCTTCAGCTGATCTTTTGTGTCATGTCATAAATAAGCCTGATGGTGTCTCTGGGCTTGGAGATAACACATTTTGAAAAATAGATGGTGCTGGGTTACAAACTGGAGGTGTAAAATGTATTAAAAGGTGTAATGATGCAATTGAGTTGCATTGTGGGTAGTGTAGGATCCACTGCTTTTGGACCCATGTTGTGATACTCAGGATATGATGACCTCTGCTGCATTGATTTAACTTATAATCTGTTCACAGTTAATCTTGCATACTACTAAACCCATCAGTTTAATGTTCCCTTGCACATTTAGGACGGTTTGCTCAAGGGCGTCTCATGGTTGCAGTGATTCCAAAACATTTTAAAAGCTATTTTTTTGGACTGTTTTAAACTGTCAATTTAATGCTGACTCCTTATTCCTCTCAATTGATCAACAACCACTTTAATAGTTAGTATATGTCCTGTTGCAGGGCATGTTTTGGCCTTTGTTGGGCTCAAAAACTGACATCCATAGAAATGTTAGGCATCACTCTGAACTGGAACATCTGCAGAATAATGTCATACTTGTGATCCACTGAAGTTAGTGATGATAGCAGATGAAAAAATACATGTTTGAATTATCTTAACCTCCGCCATCTTTTACATCACATTACATTTCTTTAGCTGACGCTTTTATCCACAGCGATTTACGATAAGTGCAAAAAAATATAAATATACTAACTCAGAACAAGTCGTGCTTCAAATGGGCTAAACATTTTTTGTGCTAAAACATTTTTTAATCTATACTATAAGGAAGCTGTATGACACACACTACTACAATTTAACTCAACTTTGTTTTGGGGGGAAGGAGACACTTTTCCAGTTCTTTTGCAAATCTGTCCGTAGCAAGTCCCCTCTGTTTTATGGTATACGCAATACTTCATCACTGGAGTACCCCTTTAACATCAAAGTGGACTTGATAAAAAGGACATCACCTTAACATCTAGTTTCCTTATTGAAAGAGTTTTATCTAAGATAAGATAAGATAGGACTTTATTCATCCCGAAGGAAGTTGATGTGCCAGAGTTACAAAAATACAATAAACACAGCAGCACAATAATAATACAACTGTAGACTAACAGTGCAGTAAAAAGAGCAATTCAATAACTACAGGAAACATAGACGGTCACATAATTAATGTAAATATTAACATCTAATTACATAAGGTGGACATATGCTGGTAAAATAATACATTCTTAGACACAAGGAAAGAACATTGAAAAGGCACTCACAGGTCTCTCAGTTATTTGTCTGCTTGTTTATGAGTTGAATTCCTGGCTGGATGACACCCATCCCTCATCTCCCCCTCCATCACCTCTAAAGCCACATGACACCTCTCTGATCTCCCCCTCCATCACCTCTAAAGCCACATGACACCTCTCTGATCTCCCCCTCCTCACCCTGTTGTCTCTCCCTCCTCCTGACAGACCTGACCCGACAGCGCTGACCTGGATAACTCTGGACCTGAAGCAGAAGACAGACGACAGAGTCAGCAGAACAGCCTCCCTCTTCCTCCCTCGTCCTCCTCACCCCTGTCTCTTGTGACATGGCGGACCCCAGCCTCACGTCGCCCTCCAGGACCCCGCTGCGCTCCCCCAACGCCTCCCTCACCCTCTCCTTCCCCTTCCTGAGGGAGAGGAGCCGGGTTTGGGAGGACGGGAAAGATCACCCGCTGCCTCGTGATCTACCGAGCCCGCTGCCGACCAAACGCAACCGCACCTACTCAGCGTGAGTTTGTTATTATTTACTATAAACAATGAGTAACTGCAATAAACCGGATTGAATTTTGTCTTCATCTACAGTATTTCTTTCATACTCTGTTCTTGTACATATCCCATATTCTTTTGACATGTATATAGACTTTTTGCACTACTTTTTATCTTGTATTTTATTATATATGTTGCATTGTTGGAGGAGCTCGGGTCAGAAGAATGCCGCCATTTCTACACTTTTTATATGACAATAAAACCTTTGAATCTTTGAATTTGAAAAAATGAGTGTGTGGTAATAAAAACATCCAAACACACACGTTGGATTTTTTCCATTTTATGCTACTTTTAAACGTTATTACATCACAGATACAAATGTTCTTTTTATTCCATTTCATGTATCAGTACTATTTCTTATATTGCAACACTCGTAAAATAATTTTTGATAAGTAGCTAAAGGATAGGTGTTTTATTAACTAAATCATTATAGGTAAGTTCCTACTATCGGTTTAAAATATATTGCAAATATTGAGACATAAACATAAAAACAGAAGAAAAATATAATACGAATAAGAAAAAAAGACTATTAAAATACGTTAAGAAACATGGAAGAAGAAAAATAGGTTTTTATCTGTTGATTCTCCTTCTTTATGAATCCTCCTCTTTGTGCATCATGCCAGTATGAATGATCTGACACAAAAGAGAAAAAATGTTGTAAACGTCTCCTTCACGTCTTGCTGGAACAATAACAACATTCAGTCGTATTGGGTGTGATTCAACGAAATAACTGTTGTTTTTTTGTCTTTGGCTGCAGTACGGTACGCGCTCAATCAAGTCCGGTGTTTAAAGGCATCTGTAAGAACTTCTCCAGGTCACAAGGTCACGGCTTCCTGCGACCCTCCCACGGCGGAGAGGACATCTTTGTTCACATCTCAGAGTGAGTAACAAAACACATCTTTAAATACAAAACAAATCAGAATCAGGAACATTTATTTCTCCCACAGCGGGGAAATGTACATTTTTACAATAAGAAACAACTGCAGATAAAAGGCAAAAAGTGCATGAATAAATAAATAAATAAAATAATTAAATGTGGAAAATCCTATATATATATAAATGTACTGTAGTATAGGAAAAATATAAGAACATAAATATAACAACAAATAAAAATGTACAAGAAACATTAACATAAAAAGACAAAAGAATATATAATACATATTTTTTGTATTATTCCAAAACAATATGAGGGGAAATCTACATTGTTACAGCAAAGGGGGCAGTGCAGATAAGAACTCCAAAACATCCAAACATCCATTGTAAAATATAAGTGCACCAGTATGAAAAAGTAAGTGAACACATAACAGTACTGAAGGAGCAGCAGTTATAACATTAGTAAGTTGTTAATAAGTGTGTATTGCACACAGTATTTATATCTCTCGTGCAGACTTTACAGCCGTGTCCTCTGAGAGTCACAGCAGACAAACGTCGGCTGAATTAAAAACAGCAACACAAACTAACTGCAGATCTGCAGCGTCACCTCAGGACTGTTTTAACTCAGCAAACAAAAGTCTACGTTTGTACTTTTCTCAAAGGGACAGCTATTTGTTCAGACTCTCACAGGACTCTGACACCTGCAAGAAGTGGAAATGCACAAATAGTTCAGCAATGTGCTTTTATTCAGCACCAGCAGTAAGCTGAATGTTACTACAGCCTCTGCAAAAGCACATTTGTGAAAACAGATTCTGCGGGATCATCCATGTGAACAGCTGCATCGTGGGTCAGGGAGTTTATCTTGTCTCAAATTTCTTCAGTATTAGAGCTCGAGCAGATGTCTCTGAGTGCGTGTGGCCACATATTTGTGAGATGAGAATATTTATACTTATTAAAAGTTTTAAAGGGGCTCTATTATGCTAACTTTCAGGTTCATATCAGTATATAGTGTCTCTACTTTAAAGAGTCCTCTCCTCTGATGTGCAGGTGTATATCAGTATGTAGTGTCTCTACTTTAAAGAGTCCTCTCCTGCTGATGTTCCGGTGTATATCAGTATGTAGTGTCTCTACTTTAAAGAGTCCTCTCCTGCTGATGTTCAGGTGTATATCAGTATGTAGTGTCTCTACTTTAAAGAGTCCTCTCCTGCTGATGTTCAGGTGTATATCAGTATGTAGTGTCTCTACTTTAAAGAGTCCTCTCCTGCTGATGTTCAGGTGGATATCAGTATGTAGTGTCTCTACTTTAAAGAGTCCTCTCCTGCTGATGTTCAGGTGTATATCAGTATGTAGTGTCTCTACTTTAAAGAGTCCTCTCCTGCTGATGTTCAGGTGTATATCAGTATGTAGTGTCTCTACTTTAAAGAGTCCTCTCCTGCTGATGTTCAGGTGTATATCAGTATGTAGTGTCTCTACTTTAAAGAGTCCTCTCCTGCTGATGTTCAGGTGTATATCAGTATGTAGTGTCTCTACTTTAAAGAGTCCTCTCCTACTGATGTTCAGGTGTATATCAGTATGTAGTGTCTCTACTTTGAAGAGTCCTCTCCTGCTGATGTTCAGGTGTATATCAGTATGTAGTGTCTCTACTTTAAAGAGTCCTCTCCTGCTGATGTTCAGGTGTATATCAGTATGTAGTGTCTCTACTTTAAATAGTCCTCTCCTGCTGATGTTCAGGTGGATATCAGTATGTAGTGTCTCTACTGGGACATGTCTCCATGCTTTAATGTTCAAAAAGCTCTTTATTTTTCTCATACTGCAGCACCTCTTTTCACCCTCTGTCTGAAACCAGAGCCCAGTCTGCTCTGATTGCTTAGCTGGCCGGCTCTGTTGTGATTGGTCAACCGCTTAGAGATGTCCCGCCCCTTAGCCTATCACGTACAATGTGTTGAAGCGCTAGCCAATAAAAGCGTGAGTGTTACATAGTGATGTCACTGTGTTCCTAAAGTAAACAAAGGAGTCCAATGGAGGTGTTTCAGTCGGCATACTGTATGTTAATAATAGACACTTCTTGTATTTGAACATCGTCTGTATCCCAGTGCTTCTACACATCTAGACAGTATGAAGCCAAACTGTCCCTTTTCCACTCTCCATCCTCATCGCCCTACTTTCTCTCTGTTCCAGCATCGAGGGAGAGTACGTCCCGGTGGAGGGAGACGAGGTCAGGTACAAAGTGAGCCGAGTGCCGCCCAAGAACCTGAAGGTGCAGGCGGTGGAGGTGAAGATCGTGCACCTGAACCCCGGCACCAAACACGAGACCTGGTCCGGCCAGATCATCAGCTCGTAGACCCCCAAAACCCTGGGCGCTTATGGGTAGTGGGAGGGGGCGTCGACCTGTTGTAGGACTGATATTTGACATCTCATTATTTCTTTAAAAACATGCTTTACCTACACAGCATCAGTCCAGATGTAATGACATGGTGTAGATGGCTGTCTTCTACTCTGCTGAATTTGCTGTATGTAAAACTGACCATTTTAGGAACATGTTTTATTTATTTATTTCACCCAAAACAAAAGAAAGAAAGCAGCTGTGAGACAATTTGTTGAACCCAGCTGAATTCAGTTTCACTTCCCTTCTTTGCAGCTGTTATGAACTTGTTTACTTCGCTGAAAATGTCCAGGATCACATGATGGGTGCAAGTGTTGGTCAGATGACTTTATCATAAGTCATACACAGTGCAGACATTGTAAAGATCAGGATTTGAATTGAAGAACAGAGATTATCGACCTAAGAGGAAGTTGTTTAGGGAATTAAAGAGGAAGAGAATCTAATGAAATCCCTAAGTAAAAGGTTCAGGACCCCCTTTTTTAGGCTTATAGTCACCAGTTTAGAAAATAAACTGAATTTGAGGACAAAAGGACATTTTTGAAAGGGAGCTGGTGATGTGTTAAAGTGAAAGTAAGTTAGAAATTCAGAAAAAGCATGAAGGCAGACGAGGAATCAGGAAATCACGTTACATCAAGCATGGATATTTAAAACATATTTGACTGTGAATGGAAAGCAAGTATTTTCCTTACACAATGCATATCTTTGAATGTTTCGTTTGGTTTGTGGTTATTTATTTTTATTTATTTATTCAGATGTGTGTGTGTGTCCTCAGATTGCGAGCTCTAAAAAGTTGCACTTACGAAATTTGTCGAAAAACTGCCAGAAAAAACTACTCCAAAACATTTGTCGTTCTGGTTTAAAATGTTAGTTTTGAAAAACGTCTGCAGCCACGAACGAACAAAACGATTTGTAAATCTCTTTTTCTATTATCAGAAAAAAAAGACATGTATCTGTGTGTGATTTATTAAGCGTATCGTCAGTGTGATGGTGAACTACTCGACTCCATAGGTGGTGCCAAAACAGATCTTTGTCACATAAATGTGGTTCAGTCAGACAACTCACGTGTTTCTTAATATGTTTATTAGAAGCAGCATATAGTTTGAGTTTGGCGTCAAGGCTCGGGCCTCATCACTCCACAGATTTACAAAGAACATTGAGTGATGATTAGATAACTATCCCCCGATCCTACAGGTGGAAGCTGGGGTGGTGGTGGTGCAGGCAAGTAGCAGCAACATGAAACACAGCAGCAGGAACATGAACGCAGCAATAGCAAGTAGTGAACACAGCAGTGGCAGCAACAGCATAGCGAGGCAGAGGCAGGAAGTAGAGCGGCATGTTTAGGAGAATGTGTTTGGTTGGTTGTAAGAGGGACGAGGTGCGTCACGTGTTAATGTATCATTGGTGCTCGAGTTGACTGCCTGAACTAGCTCGCAGGCTTCGCCCCATTTCTTAGTACTTCAGGTTTAGCTCGGTTAAGTACTGTTTGTCATTTTCTATAATATCTCTGTTCCATAGAGTCTCTATGCATCTGTCACTGCCTGAATCTGTTCATCATCACACTCTGTTTATTTCCTCCGTCACGTTACAAAGGGCACTTTCTGTTGTGGACGAGCCACTGTGGTGCTGATCACAGTGAGGACTTCTACTGAGCCTTGAACAAAAAAAACATTAAAGCATTTTATGATTCACATGTCTGATGGGAGAGTGTTTATTAAGCTGCATGTGACGGGAGGAGGAGGAGGAGGAGGAGGAGGAAGGTGAAGTCTGATAAACACGTGGGGAGAGAGACTGTCACGGTAATAATAATAAAAAAGAAAAAATATAATTATAAAAATAATAACAATAAGAGTAAAGGGCTTCAATATAAAAATAAAAATGTAAGAATTAAGAATAAAGAATAATAATTATAGGTAGGTAACAGGTTAACATTGCACTTCATTTAGCTTACGATTTTATCCAAAGCGATTTACAATAAGTGCAATAAACCATGAAGATACACTCTTAGAAAAGCAAGATAAATTAAATATAACTCTAGATATATGTATTTATATTTATGTTGAAACTGAGAGGACGGAGGTTTTTCATTATATATTTTGCATATATGAAGAATAAAGTACAGAAACCTCAAAGTCAAACTTTCATTATACGCTAAAAGTAAGGCTGGTGATGTATTGATTTAATCTAATGTGAAATGTATTCTCGAAATGGTATTTTAACTTCATTCTCGAAACGCAGAAACAACATCTTCTTCCTAATTTTTAAACCTTGTTGAGACACTAACCTCACTTCTCTCTGGTGAAATATCCAGATACACTCAGCACTAGCTCTTAAAGGTCACCTATCATGCTATTTTTAGGGAATAGCATAGGTCTCAGATATATAAAAAAATATAAAAAACATGTCTATGAAGTGTTTTGCTCAAAATACCAAACAGATCACCCATTCTAGCCATGCCTCATATCCCTCTATTTCACTTCCTGTTTCAAAAGTGCTGATTTGGGGTATAAAGCTTTAAAAAAAGAAGAAACCCGGCAGCTACTGTCTAAACTAAATACTGCCGTGATGAAACGCCATATCATGGATTATCAAGGATTATTTCTGAGACAGTATGGAGCTCAAAGGCTTTCTCTCTTGCCGGTTATACCACAAGGTGAGTTCCTTTTTATTTCCTGCTTCTTCACACACATGCTCTCCAGTACAGGTTAGCTCTGAGTGTTAGCGATGCTAATGTAAACACCGACCATATTACATCCAAAACAGTCGGGCATTGTTTCTGATAGCAACGTTTGTGTAAAGCCAGCCTACATTTCCGATATTACGTCATATCGGACGCAAATCTGGATCAGCTCCGTTGTAGCCCCGTTTTTAGAGATTTGGGTACGGAGGAAAAGAGAGAGGGTTTTATTTTCTGACGCTGCGTGAGTTCCCCGACACACCGGGGACACATATTTATGTATAAAAGACATCAAAAAGTGCATTTTGCATGATAGGTCCCCTTTAAGGGGGGAGAGGCAAAAAATAGCTTTAAAGACAAGAACAAAAATAAAGTAAATACATCATGTGTTGTTACATCATGTCCTGCCTTTTCTCTGTTCCCAGAGACACGTCAGCATAAATGTCTTGATGTTGCCTGAGGAAGCACTTAGGCTTAAACTCTGCAATCCAAGCCTTTGTGTTATCCTATAGCATTTCACTGTGGGTCGAGATATAAATAATCACAAATGAAACCATTGAAATAACAACAGCAATGTTGGCTTTCAAAGTTCTTGGTGCTCTGTATCATGTTTTTTATCGGTGAAGAGTTCAGCTATTTGTTTCTGACAGCAATAAACACCAAGTCACATTTTCTGACTGGCTTTTAAGAGATTAAAAGAGACATTTAAAGATCTATCAAAGTGGTTATGCATTCTTCAAAATCTATCATTTGGTGTTCAAACGGCCACAAGATGAACTGTAATGTATTTTAGAAGCACCTGGTGTAGGTAGAATTTGAGTTTCTGGCGACCTCCTGTGGTGAAATGTGAGAACACTGAGGCAGAAAAAGTGCTGTGGTTTTGTGATTTTGTAAGTGAGTCATATGTAAAAGCGCATTAGTCAAAGCTCAAGAACAACACAGGAGAACTACGATCAGTGCAAGATATCAAAAAGGTTTTAATACAATTAATTCACTTTTTTATCCAGAAAATAATTAAAGTAATCAGTTAGCAACACATTAACATTTTCTGCTGTGCATAAAAGTGTTTTTCTACATGATCCGTTGAGTCTTTTGAAGGAGTGTTACCAGTCCTGCAGCTGATGCCTTTAGAAGCCTCATATTTACATTACTGATACATCAGAGAGGCGTTATTATTCTGAGCCATGGCAGAATAAAAACCCATTACCCATTTAGTGTTCACACATTTAAAAGTTATTTAAAAAACCCTTAAACAGCTTCATATTAAAAGAGTTAGAGACAACAACCAAGCATAATAATTGATGTTTACATTCGACCAGCATTCAAGCCACGATACAGTTTGTAAAAATATTTTACATTCAAAATAATGACTGACAGAAGTGTGCAGTGACTTGGTAGCAGCTAAAAATGAACTCCTCACCCTATGTAATATCTCTCTCTTTCACTCTTACCATCTCTTTCAGCAATGATCAACAATACCAACAATTGGTATGAAATTATGCCCAAAATTAGTGCAAAAAATCACTTTATACTCAAATAATCTGGAGTAATAACTTTCAACAATAACATCTTTTATAATCTCTATTAGCTTTTTAGCTGATTTAAGCTACATGCTAACCGTCTGGCACATTGTGTGCAGAGTGACTTGGTAGCAGCTCAACTCACGGGTTAAGATCAATTAATTGATTCAGTAGTAAATAAAATCTGATATATGTTCCTTTTATTGAATTTAAAATACCTAGAGATGCAAAACAAGCTTCTCCCCTGAAGCTTAAAAACATTTGATATTTAAGGGATCACACAGTAAATACATAATAAATCCCAGAGACATTCATAACTGGAATGATTCATACATCCTCAACTTCCGAGGAATAAAAAGCCACGTGTTCTTTTTATGCTTCATTCATATCTCATTTTCAAAATGGACTCCTCACCCTATGTAATATCTCTCTCTTTCACTCTTACCATCTCTTTCAGCAATGATCAACAATACCAACAATTGGTATGAAATGATTCCCAAGATTAGTGCAAAAAATCACTTTATACTCAAATAATCTGGAGTAATAACTTTCAACAATAACATCTTTTATAATCTCTATTAGTTTTTTAGCTGATTTAAGCTACATGCTAATCGTCTGGCACATTACTTTAACATGTAACACCTCCTCTGTTCCTTTTTAAAAATCTTTAAAAAGCAGTAGGACTAACGTTTAAAATGTAGTCAAATCATCGCGCTGCTGCCCGTTGTTTTCATATTATTAAAAGGGAGAAAATCAGTAGTAGTACCTCGGAGTGGTTCATAAATGACCTGCATTAGAGTTGCTTGTTGTCGTACAAGCAGAAAGCCACAGGCAGGCATCAGAGGGGATTGTGGGTAAAGGGATCAGGGAAATCAAGCCTCGTGAGGCGGAGCGTCAAAGAAAATCTCCCGACAGTACCGGGCCGTGTCCTCCGGAGAGAAGACGGTGAAACCGATGGTCCGCGGGTCGTTGAAGATTTCATAATCGTTGCCTCCCTGAAAAGAGAAAAAACGTAAATGATTTTAAGAAAACAGATCAAAGTTATTTCTGTTAAGGCTCTGCTCATCTTCAATCGTGAGGTAAGAAATGTTAAACTCCAAGCACTGACAGAAACCTTTTTTATCTGAATCAAACATACATTTTCATTATTCAACTAATTTAATATTGATATATAAAGTATCAACCCAGTCTCACGGCATTTCGTGTTATAGTCACGAAATTAATTTAATCTATTGATTCGTGTTCACCAACACGATTTTCGCATTTTTTTCGTGTCACACAGAACGATTTTAAAAGCAATGTATTTCTATTGGTAGTATGTTTCGTGCCTGCACCACGTCTTTTTGACCAGAAGCTGTGTGGTTCATAAAAACATTTTCTTACTCAATATCTTACCCTAAGCCTAACCCTAACCCTTTTTATTTTAAATTGTATAATGTCTGAGTTTTATTGCCGTCCGCGAGGAAAATAAATGGCTCAGAGCCTCAGAATACTGAAACCTGTATTTATTTTCCTTCTAATTTGTTATTATTTGGTGCAGGCACGAAACATACTACCAATAGAAATACATTGCTTCTAAAATCGTTCTGTGTCAGAATACTGAAATCTGTATTTTTTTAAATCTGTTTTTCCTTCTAATTTGTAATGATTTACATTGCTTTTAAAATCGTTCTGTGTGACACGAAAAAAATGGGGAAATCGTGTTGGTGAACACAAATCAATAGATTAATTTTGTGACTATAACAGAAATGCCGTGAGACTGTGTTGAAAGTATAGACAAGGGACAAGAAAACCTAGCTGAAGAGGGGAGGCAGGAAGCATAGCTCTACCCTTAGAATATTTAACAAATTGTACGGTGTCCTTGGGTGTCATAAAAAGCGCCTTAAACCAAATGTATTATTATTATCCTGTAATTACATTGTATTTGATTCAATCTAAAAATCTTATGGCAAAATAACTAGAAGATGTATGACGTACGTTTCATAATGGATATATGTTTATGGGGGGCTTAAAGATAACCATTTGTGAAGGTAAACCAAACAATGAGATAAGATATTAAACACCTATGATAATTGAAATAAAAATGTGAAGATGTCTTTATTAAAAGGGAAATGTTAATTGATATGGTTCAGAGCGATGTGTAGATGTGAATATTGACTTACATCTGAGGTCTCGTTGCCGAAGAAGTAGATGGAGTCCAGGCCCTCGCTGTCCAGCAGCTCCAAACACAGTCTCTTGTCCCAACCCTCCGGAAACACATCGAAGCTGATGAGACCGCCTGAAAGAAAAGAGGACAAACAGGACATTGTTATAAAAATCAACTTCATATTATAAACTAATGCATTCTGTATTCCTTTAAGGAGGAACATTCAACATTGTGATTGGAAAGAGCAGCGAAAGCAGTATTTATGTCGAGTTAACGGCATGATTTTTAGTCACCAGTACATTTAATATGATGTCAAATACTTTTCCCTTTCTCTTTTTTAACCTCCATTTACACTCAGCAGCTCTGCAGAACTAACTGTCCGCTCTCATGGAGACATTTGAAACTCTTTATCGAGCAGGGACAGACGGTTTGTTCAGAGGACATGTTGGCAGAGAGACACTGCATTCGGGACAAAGGAAACAAAACCCTTGGCATTGTTTGGTCAGAAATAAACACCGTGTGTGATAGGGCTGCTCGACTCTGAAGCCATGGGATCACATTGACTTTGATATTCACTGAGAACCAAGTTAGAAATCAGACGTTTTTTAAAAGATGGAGTGTATTCTTCCCAATTCAAATATGCCCCCCCCCCCCCAAATGTCGTCCTTTTAAAATGTTTTAATTAACTCATTTATTTGCTTTATATAACTTTTTTTATTCTTCTTTTCTTTTATGTTTTTTTTAAATGGAAATGTAGAAAAAAAACAGTCGGGAAAAATGTGATTTTTTTTTGTCTTAAGCTGAAATAAAAAGCCTAAAAAGAAGTATAACAGTAAATCCTTCATTGTGGTTCAGCTGTGAGTTTAAACAGCCTTACATCTGTGAAATGTATCTGAAAAGTCTCCCACAAAGCTCTCTGCTCCCCACCCTCCCCCTCGTATATTCCTCTCACTGTCTCAGCTGAAACATTTAAAGAGTCATCAATAACAACGATAAACAGCTGAGGAGCAGCCAGCCAATCAGAGCGCTGCTTCCCTCACACACCCTCCACCACACACACCTTTAATCCCACACTGTAAAACACATCATCAACCTCTGAATCAACCCCCCCCCCCCCTGCTGTGTCACAATATGCTGCTAAATGCTGACTATGCCTGAATTACCTGAATAAGTTACCTGAATTAATTACACAACCTGAGTCACCTGAATTAATTACACAACCTGAGTTACCTGAATTAATTACACAACCTGAGTCACTTAACATGTAGGTTATCTTGGACAAAAAGGCATTAAAAGTTATAGTTACACAGAATAAATAGGAAGAAATATTTACAAATGTAATAACCACTATGTGAAAACGAGTAATTGAAGTAAATGTATGTCCAAAATAAATGTTACAGCACTATATGTCAGAATACAAAGTAATTAAAATACGATCAAACTTTACCAGCTGCCACATTAAAGTGAATGGGTTACACCAGGGCAACTGGTGGCACGCGGGAAAGTAACCAGTAGCACACTAGGAATAAGTGGAATAAGTGTGCAAAATATTTAAATTGTATTTTCGGATCCTGAACGAGACCGCCGGCAGAGCGCGTCACCTCGTTACCTGCTGAAGGAAGCCATGCACGCAACGCAGCGCAGAAGGATAACTTCTAGGCCCCGCTCTCTTTAACTCCAGTCGACTTTCTGCTGCTTTCCTCCATGGTGAAACGACCAGGGGTGTAGCGCACTTCACACATTGCAGTACCCATAAGGAGCTGTACATGCCGCAGTTTTTGCGTGGCTGTGTCTTTAGTTGAAAGCCCAGTGGCGATCTGCTCATCTGTCATTAAAAATATTATGCTACACAGGGGCGGACTGGCCAACTGTGTGTTCTGGAGAATCACAGTTGACGACCGGCTCGGTTCGCTGACGGCCGGCACTGCCCTTTATTTATTTAACTGTGTTTAAACTGCATCATGTAAGTTGCGCTGACAGGTGACAGAGGTCCACAGCTTCCCCGCAGCGAGGCTCCCCCGCCCTCCAGTTGACAGTTCACGAGCGTCAAGCTTTTTCCTCTCATCATCGCTCTCTGTGTCCCTCTCGTTCTGTACTCTCAGTGCAGACTGGACACACTGTCAGGTTTATATAACATCCATCACAGAGATCAGCAGTATCATCTGACAGGAGGCAGCTGTGCAGGAACAGATCAACTCTGAGGAAGACGAGTGAATTCATCTCAACTCCACCAACACCACACCGCTCCTCCGCTCCCTTCAGCGTGACCACATCACCCCAACTCTGGCCTCACTGCACTGGCTTCCAGTTCGGTTCAGAATTGATTTTAAACTCCTTTTATTTGTTTTTAAAGCACTAAATGGGCTGGCTCCGGCCTATATAGCTGAACTCCTCCAGCGCTACACCCCAGCCAGAGCTTTAAGGTCTGCTGACCAGCTGCTGCTGGTAGTGCCCAAGACCAGGCTCAAAACCCGAGGGCACCGAGCCTTCGCAGCAGCTGGCCCTAGGCTCTGGAACACTCTGCCCCTCCATGTGAGGTCGGCCCAGACACTAGGGTTTTTTAAATCAACACTAAAAACTCACTTCTTCTCCCTGGCCTTCTAGTCAGAGCGGAGCACGACTCATGACATTTCCCTGTGTTTGATTTTATATTTGCTGTTGTAATTTATTGTCTTCTGTTTGCGATTGTAGTAACGTGTTATTTATTATTTGCATGTACAGCACTTTGGCTCGACCAAAAATAGTTTTAAAAATGTGCTATATAAATAAAACCTGATTTGATTTGATTTGTTTCGCTGCCTTCCAGTAACTGCTAGAATCCACTTCAAGACACTGGTACTTGCGTACCATGCTGTGAATGGATCTGGTCCTTCCTACATCCAGGACATGGTTAAACCATACACCCCAGCACGTGCACTCCGCTCTGCATCAGCCAAACGGCTCGCTGCACCCGCACTGCGAGGGGGACCCAAGTTCCCATCAGCAAAAACACGTGGGTTTGCTATCCTGGCTCCAAAATGGTGGAATGAGCTCCCCATTGACATCAGGACAGCAGAAAGCCTACACGTCTTCCGCCGCAGACTGAAAACTCATCTCTTTCGACTCCACTTCGAGCGATAGAATTACTAACAAAGCACTTACATACTAATAAAGGACTGGCTTATCTAAAGCCAGTTGAGTAGCACTTGAAATGTTTTGGCTCTATGAAACCTGATGTACTTATATGATTCTGTTTTCTTCAACTTTGTATCTTCTTGGTCGAATGCACTTATTGTAAGTCGCTTTGGATAAAAGCGTCAGCTAAATGTAATGTAATGTAACTCTGAACATCCTCCGAACAGCAGCTTGTCTCCTCTCAAAAACACACTTTCCAACCACCTGAGAGTGTGGGTGGGTTTTGTTGATTAAATGTTTTTATTTTGCACATTTGTACTTACTTTTAAAGTTAATATACTTATTTTATTATATTATGGAGCACATAACACAACACCAAATCCCCCTCCAGATAATATAAACAAATTTGCATTGTTTATATTCTATACATTTTTGATTAACCAATTAACCTTATTATCTAAAACTTTTATTTGACTTTTTATGTTTTGCAAAGGATGCAAAGTAGAATCTTTTTTCTTATTTTATCAAAGAAACCCCAGTTAATAATAAGTCTAAGAAAGAACTCTGACAGCAGACACCATTACATTTGTCTTTACCTGCCAGAGATCTATATGAGTAAGAGTAACGAGGAAAAAACAAGTCTGTGTGCTTTGTTTGTCTGAACTGTGCTCAGCCTTCAGGCGTCATCAGCGAGGAGCACACACCTCGCAGAGCACGTAAGCAAACATTGATCACCAGATCCACCTTAGAGAGTGTGTGTGTGTGTGTGTGTGTGTGTGTGTGTGTGTGTGTGTGTGTGTGTGTGTGTGTGTGTGTGTGTGTGTGTGTGTGTGTGTGTGTGTGTGTGTGTGTGTGTGTGTGTGTGTGAGAGTGTGTGTGTGTGTGTGTGTGTAATGGTTAACTGAGCGCTCCAATGTCCACCACAAGCTCCTCCAGATGGGGGGTAGATGGGTCTTTTTTAAACAGTGATAAGAACCAATAGATAGACATGCTGTGAAACTGGTTTGTACTGCACTACAGTATTAAAAAAGACAGCGTTCTGAGGAGCTTGTTTGATATTGAGAGAACAAGACAAACCTGAGATACACCATATTATAAACCATGCAGATTCCTCTGTATGTTTTGAACATTTCAGTTTAAAGCTACCTCTTTTAGAACGGCACAGCTCTTTCCCTTTAGATTCTGATAAACCCTCACCTTTAGTGAACCGCAGTCCTTTTCCAGCAAACTCCTCTTTCAGGGCAGCAACAAACTTCTCCCGGATCTTCTCTCTCTGCGGAGAAAGTGACATCGCAGTCAGACTCCGCCATCTTTGTTAATGCACACATGACATTTACTTACAGAAGCCCTATTGCATCAAGTCGTGCCTGAAATGCCACGATTGGACTCCTATGTTGACTTTCGTGAAATACTGACATCACTATAGGGCTGTGCAAATAATCGTATTTTAATCGCAATTACGATTTTGGCCTGCCACAATTACGAAAACAACATAATCGAAAAAAACAATTATTTTGCTTTGCTAGGTTGTGACAGTGCACTAGAACATATTTGATCTAATTAATTTTGGTCTCATTTATTTGTATTTATCATATTTATATATGTTTAGTAGCTTGGGGAAGTGCGCTCCAAAATATTTGTTGATCTTGTTTATTGGTATTTATTATTTTGATATTATTTATTTAAATGTATCATTTATTTTATTTTATTTTTGTATTGGTTTTTCAGTTGAATTATACGTTCAGGGTAATCAACAGTTAAAAAGATACTGTTCAAATTATTATTTGTATTTGTTTTAAAGTTCAATAAATTGATTTTTTCAAAGTCAATGAATAATCGTATTTAATAATCGTGATATCAATTATTGACCCAAATAATCGTGATTATGATTTTTGCCATAATCGCACAGCCCTACATCACTATGTAAACATCACGCTTCTATTGGCTAGCGCTCCAACACATTGTACGTGATAGGCTAAGGGGCGGGACATCTCTAAGTGGTTGACCAATGACAACAGAGCCGGCCAGCTAACCAATCAGAGCAGACTGGGCTCTGGTTTCAGGCAGAGGGTGAAAAGAGGTGCTGCAGCTTTTTGAACATTAAAGCATGGAGACATGTCACAGTAGAGACACTACATACCTCATTCATTCTAACTATTATCTGCTGTTTTCCAAGAAGTTAAATGTATGCAGATCATGTTAGTTTATATAATCTGAGTACACATTATTCAATGTATGAACGTAAAAAAGCTGCATTAATGTTAGCGTGTAGCGAAAGGGTTAAACCTCTCCTCCTCTGGTGCTATCTGCTTCCTGCATATCTCCTGCTCTGTGAACCATCAATGGACAGCTTGTTAAAGTGTATTGAAAGCTCAACATTGTTTGACCGCTCTCTGTCTAATTAATGAAGCACATTTCATGAAACCGAGACACAGAGAGGCAGCCTGTGACTCTCAGTGCCTGATGTTTCAAAGTGTACCGTTTGTTTAGTTCAGCTGCTAAAATGGGCTATTGTGCATTATAATAAAACTCAAGTATGTAAATGATATGTCCATTTCACAAGAAAGGAACCTCGGAGTACAAAAATGCTAACTCATTTCCGGGTTTATTACTTATTCCTACATCTCAAGGCAGTGCAGACAGAATAATAATATGCTAAACCAAAAACAAAGACCACTGACGACAACAAACTGCCAGGTTCTGTTGCAACCTGTTTTTTTGTTTTGTTTGGTCACTATTCAAATGTATGAATGACAAAATGATGAACGTTTTTCACCTTATCGATTTCAGAGAACTCGATCCTCTCCTCTCGCGTGCAGCTTCGACCGATGGGGGAAATGTTGAGCATGCCATTCCTGAATTCAATGAACGTTCCCCTGAAGGAATGAAATAACAGAAGCATGGTTAACGGTACTGTAGTTGTTACATGTCAAAAAACCAAGTTAACTGACACAGAAAAACCTGGATTTATTTATTAATTCCCATAGGAGGTAAAAGAATAAAAGACAGTTTTGTTTTAGCTTCATTCCCATGCAGGTGTCACAATGTGAGGTAAGTATTTTTCTACTTTAAGATGCTATTGATGATTAGATTGCACGGATACAAGGAATGCAATTTTGTGTGTGTGTGTCCACCTGAGGCTTTGCTGCTCACCTTTTCTTTGGCAGCTTGATGAGCCCCATGTAGCTGAGGCAGAAGTTGATCAGGTCCTGCAGCAGCTCCTCCCCGAGCTGGTTCTGAATGGCCTGATGGGATACAAATGCACTCATTCATGTCTTCCTCTTCAGCATACAAGCTGACGTTGCAACAAGTAAAATGGGACTGTTTACATACGTGCTTTGAGAAGAGTTTTCCGTCTTTGTATTGCACCGTCCCGTTCTCAGCAAACACATAGTCAAACTTGTCCACCACTGCAAGAGAAGAGACAAATGAAATGTGGTTTAAAGGGCTCACCTGGTTTTTATTAACCTGCACTCTCAATTGAATTAAGAGTGGCTCTTCTGCTAAATCTGAATAAGGGAAACTAGGCCTGCTATATTTACCTGGGAGCAGATTAAAGAGTATGTAACACCACCTAGAAAGCTAAATTTAATCTTACTGGCTTTCCTATTCACTTTGGCCTGGAAGTGCACTGCAACACTCTGCAGGAATAACTCAGTCAATGCTTGGTCACTGAACCTTTAATTGTACAGCATAAACCACAACATTTAATAATCTTGAAGCGTATAATAAAAAAACTGCCAGATGTATGTAATAATGTCATAGTAAAACTTCCTAAACAGCTTCATTAGGTACCATGATAATTAAACTATTGCTACTAGGTCACATGACGTGGAAGCTATTAAAAAGATATCGTCATTTGGAGTGACATTTTCAGCATGTCTAATCCATCACATTCTCCAGCAGCTACGACATCATCTGCTGCGATGTGTGCATCATGAAGAATAAATACAAGATTCACACTTGGCACACTTGGCAAAGATATGAAATCATATGGCTCCCTCTTGACACAGTAGTTGTGCATCCCAGTTATGCCACAATATTTACAGATACACAAGTCTTCCTTCTGTCTACTCAGCAGTTATTACCAGATTATTAAACAAAAATAAACCAAACCACTGAAGAAACACATAAAAAATGTCAAGAATCCTGGAGATACATTAGCATTCAATAAGCCAAACTATTGTAACTGCTACATACAGAAGTTTGCACTAATTAGACAATATGTCCCTATATTTAACTCTGGCTCCCCTGCAGTCTGTTGAAATCAACAATACAATCATGATGAGTTAAACAAAACTTAGTCAACATGAAACAATGGATTGTGACACAAATAAAGGAGGAAAAAGCACTTCTACTTCTACTCTTGTTTTTATTGTGCATCTGTTATAGGTGTGTTGTTGATGTCTATACAATTCCCAAGGACCCTATTCTTTGTTACACACTCTGTTGACTTGTGTGAAGAAGTTACAATAAAAAGTGTGAGGTCATGCATTGTCATCCATCCGGGTGACTGATACAGCCTGCAGTCTTCAGACAGGAAGAGGAAGAGGACTCACCATCGTCCCCGAGCTGCTCAGCTATCTTGGAGTAGTCCGACCCTCCCACAATGCCGATCTTCACTTTCCTCCGGAGCGACTGGAAGAACTCGTCCAACTGAGGGTCGATTTTCTGTAGATTACAGGAAAATGCACATCATAATAATTATTTGGGTTAACTGGTTAGCTCCACCCTTAAAACACACAGACATACCTTATTGGGCAGGTCAATAAATATACATTATGTAGGTATTGTGATAGGAGAGTAGAAAGTGTCTCAGATTTTGGGGATACTTTTCTTAACGTAACAGCATGTCTCTAGCTGTTTTGTCATTTGTGTTTTATCTTTATATCCACATTACACACCCATATGTGAACAATCTCTGTGTGCTGCACTGTGTTGTTGAAGCATAATTACACAGAGGGAGAACAGAGAACAATGGACACAACAGTACAGTTTGCCTTTGAGGTTTTTTAATTTGGCACAGAAGAAGTCCAATTTCTACAACATATGGAAGACAAGCTCTGAGCAGCACAGAAGACACACACTAACACAAACGTCCCGACACAACAACACACACCAACACCAGTTACCAGGGGGGCAGTATCAGGGTAGTTTCAATGTGAATGACATCAGGACTAAAATAGGTCACCATATATTTACACACTTTGACATTACCATATTATGACACACAGCCCCTCGTGGGTTTGTGTTTGAATGCAGATGAGCGACATATGTTTTTAAAGGTTGCAGATAGTAAACACATAATTGATATGATCAGTTTTACCTCTCTCGGTGGAGTCAAAGTACCGTCCACGTCAAACAGGCACAGGATATTTCGGTCCGAGGAGAAGACATCTGATTTCTCCATTTCTTCCTCTCTTACGAGTTTGTCTGTTGTACTATTTGAACGTTTTAGCTGAAGGTCCACCCAAGTGCAAACAAACACGTAATAACACACATTTACGTCACAGAGTATAATATATTCAGCAGTCAGTTATATCAGAATGAAAACCCGACTCCAAGGTTAAATTAAATATTATCTTCCAGGACAGTTATTTGTTCTGGTTCCTCTTCCTTCTTCGGTTCTACAGTCCTGCTGTCTTGGCTCGGTTCTGCTCGGCCCGGCTCAACCAACAAACACGGCGTGCTGCACGTATGGCTCTTTCGCAACACTGTAAGTCATCCGTCCGCCAATCACAAGCGAGGACGACGTGACGTCGACGGGTGGGCGGGCCAGATCGATTCCCATGCATGTCCACTACACAGCGAACCGACCTTTTACCTACAAATTAAATGATGGATGCTGCACAGAAAAACACCAGGAAAAAATGTACAGTCTATGGAAACACAACGTGTTTTTATAAGAGTAGAATACAAATTAAAAAAATATATGTTAAGAAGGATAAACTCCTACTTGATGTATTACATGTCTGATATATGGGTCATTCCAGAATTGGAGGACAATCACAATTTAGACACCAACATTTTTGAAATATTAACCTTTTATTTTATTTTTATTTTTTTTATGTATTTAGGAAAAACAGATAATAAACCATCAAAAAAAGTGATTTGCCCAGCTAAGGCATCAAATGTATATGAAGAATTCCAATGAAGAATCCAATGGAGAATTACCCCTGTTACTCTAATTATAGTAACAGGGTTGAAAGTAACAGGGTTGAAAGTAACAGGGTTGAAAATCAATGCTAATTTGAGCTTTAACCTCAGGAAGTATTGCTAGATGCTACTTTCAAGGCAAGGACAAACTTGGATATTTAATGAAAGAAAGATAACTTTGAAATGAATATGCTTTATTCTGATAATATGAGTAACAGGCTTGAGTGGGTTAGAGTGCCACACTCTCTTACGACTGAAAAGATTGTAAAAATATGAAAAATAAAAGAGAGGACTTAGTTTTGGTCTACCCATGGCACTAGCACATGGCTTGCTGATGTCATTTGACTTACAGTTTTTTCACTTCCTCTGCCAATCTAAAAAGGTTTGGGTAACAGGGTTGAACCATAGACTGTATATATAAACGCATGTTGAGGGACACACCTTCTGTGCAAAATTACTGTTATTTAAAATATGTTTATGATTTAACAAATTGATTTTACCATTACAAGAGACATATATCAATAGAATAATACCAAAACAAGTAAATCAAATCCCTATTTTAAATGTTATATTTGACATGCAAGTTGGTCACCAAGAAGCGGGGACAAGAGAAAAATGCCATTTTAGGGGGTGTTCGAGAGCTATTTGATCATTTAAATAATATTTTGAAACCACTTTTTCTACAACTTTATATACAGTTTGTCTCAAGACAAGTATGTTTAACACAACAAGTGCATGTTTTAGCTTTTTGGGCATGGATTATTACATTTTTTATATGGGGGACATGAAATGTCCTCCAATTCTGGAATAACCCATATAATGGTATGTAAAGCGCTTTGAGAACTTGGAAAAGCGCTAAATAAATGTAATTAATTATTAATTATTATTATCAGTTATATCAATGTCATACATAACAGTAGGGAGCAAACACATTACAAAAAATATATATTCATTTGCATATAAAGTCTATGGAAACACCACAGGCTGTTGTGAATTATCAATTTTTAATGGGAGAAGAGTAATACCTTTTTTTCTTTTTTATAATTAAGGAAAAACTATTCCACTTATACAAATCATGCACAACAGTAAGGGGGGTAAAAACTTGCAAATACGTTTCAAAATAAAATAATATATTGCTTAATATGATCTATTTTCACAAGCAATTTAAGTAAAAGACCAGTTCCTTTGCAAAAAAAGTTTTTATAAAAAGAGTAATATTTTATATATATTTTATTAAATAGTAAAACATTAGAATAATAATTAATGATTATACTACATAATAAATAATAATATTGCTAAAAATATGTATTTGTTGGTTAAAGTGCTTTGACATTGCATTTGTTTTGTACATTTGTTTTAATTACTCAATTACACACCCACATAAGACAGCAGTAGCTCAGACTGTGGGGGCATCTTCTTGGGAACCGGGGGGTCACCGGCTCAGGTCCTCAAATAGACCAAGTATGACACTTTGAGAGAACTCAAAGTACTTTGAGAGAGGCCATTTCACCTCCTTGGCACTTGAGCAAGTACACCCACACTGCTCCCAAGGTGTTGCAATTTAATATTTCTTTATATTTCTTTCTTTCCATGAACCAAACAAGCCACAATTAATCTTCCCCATCGTTTTGAGAAGATAGCCTACACGTTTTTCAAGCTTGTAACCAGCTGACACTTACCTTCGATCGGTCCAGTCCAGTATCCATAAGAATTAAGATTAAAGTTCCAGAAATGGAATAATTACATGTTGCATTGTTTCTGGTTTCCCAAATTAAACAGGTCCTGTGTTCAAGCTGCCTCTTGTACGTTTTAGACTTTTAAAAATACTAAAATGTAAATGAAATGGCTGATTTTAAGAGGTTTCATAACACAATTTAATAACTTTACCAGTGTGTTCCTCTTCTGTGAAAAGTGTGTGTTATGCAACAAACGTGCGGTCATTTTACATTTACTGTTTCCTTTTGAAATTGTATTTAGTGAGCTCAGATCACATTACCCCTCCTCTTGATTTGATTACTGTCTTCCACCCAAGCCAACATCTGTTACTTTGCGGCAGTGTCAGGCTTGCAGCTGGCAGACATTACTTTTAATGTTGTACTTATTATGTAGGTCGGATATACAATGTGCAACAACAAATATTTTCATTATATTTTCAACTTCCTGTGCTGTCCTGAATCCCTTTTTTCTTCTTAATGCTTTCAACAAAACAAACATTTCCACTGTTAAGTATTGGAAACATCTCCTTCTGCATGCATCTCATCTTCATTGAGCCAAAACCTCCACAAGAGGGCAGAATGGCAGAGAGAGTGTTATTGTGCTCTCATAAAGACAAAATGACTGTTCATCAGGCATCTAACCCAACCTAGAATTTTAAGTCAAATACCTTAAAATGTTTCACCATCTGTATACAAATGCATATGAAGTAATTACATGATCATGTTTGTCAGAGGAGGGCATGACACAAATACATCAATGTGAATGAGAAAGTTCCCATGTGTCTGAACATAAATACTTTTCAATTGTTACAGGTTTTTCTAAAGTATTACATTTTAATTATGGATAAAAGCGTAAGCTAAAATGACATGTACTGTATTGTATTGCAAAATGTTGAATTGCATTTCGATTTCTAAACAATTCAAAACCAGAACAAAAGCTTTGTCGGCCAAACATTTTTCAGTATAGTTCAAGTATACCTAAACATGAATCCTGATTTAAAGGGCCCATGTCATGCTTTTCCGGTTATTACCCGTCCCCTTGTGTGTTATGAAGGTTTTTATGCATGTAAACCAGTGTTGTAGTCAAGTCACCAATTCACGAGTCCAAGTCACTCTCGAGTCACCACTCTTCGAGTCCGAGTCCAAGTCCGAGTCACCAAGGGAGAGTCGTAGTCGAGTCCGAGTCCAAGTCCGAGTCACCCAAGGAGTGTCCGAGTCGAGTCCGAGTCCGAGTCATCATTACCTGTGTTCGAGTCCGAGTCCAAGTCCGAGTCACCTAAGAAGAGTCCAAGTCAAGTCCGAGTCTTCATGTATTAATCTTCGTGGATATATGTGTTGTAATGTAGCTGCTCCTCTACATTGCTTTTATCCTGTCAAGTTATACTAATGTGTCTATTGAACTGCTGTGAAGCCAGTTTGGCTACAATTCTTGTAATAGGTGCTATACAAGTATAAAGCTTATTACTAATATTAATATTATTATTATATATAAATAAACTATGTTTAAAATGAGTTACGTTTTAGAGAAGTGATTATATTTGTATGCCAATATTTTCCTATGGTAAAGTTTTCGTTTTGCACTTTTATTTTGATAGTAATAAGATCGGGACTCTTATTTTGAAGGAACTTTTACCGGTTAAATCGGTTTACTGATAAAGATTTAGCCCCAGAAAGCACATGGCTACTTAGCATGCAAAATGACCATTCTGCATGCTAAGTAGCCATGTGCTTTCGTGTTATCGGCTGAATCTTTATTTATTGATTAGATCACGTTACTCTGATGATAGTGTTCAAGACAGCCTATATGTCTGAACTCGATGTTTAGAGTAATGTGTTACGGAGCCTTCTCTTCAATATTGTTTCCACATAACGAGCATTTTGCGCTGCTCTTTTCCAATGTGGAACCAGAATGTGTGAAAGCATACAGCACGATGCGGGGTGTGTCTCTAGACATCTTTAGACTGGAATAGCGGGAACGTGAACTCGCCTCGCAGCCGGTGCACACGCCAGGATAGAGGACATCAGACTGCATAGAAAACTTGCTCGAGTCCGAGTCCGAGTCCAAGTCGGAGCATCAATGTACAAGTCGAGTCCGAGTCATCGTGGGGGGAAAGATTCACGAGTCCGAGTCCGAGTCCAAGTCAGCGTACGCGATAATTCACGAGTCCGAGTCCGAGTCCAAGTCATCGTGCGCGAGAATTCACGAGTCCAAGTCCGAGTCAATCAGTGCGCGAGTCCGAGTCGAGTCACGAGTCCCGAAAATCGGAAACTCGAGTCCGAGTCCAGGACTCGAGTACTCCATCTCTGATGTAAACAGTCACAAACCCTCAAAGTACACCCTGTAGCGAGTAAAACTCTAACACAGTCTATGCTGCCCCAAAACGCCTCGTTGGAGATTTCAAATTTTCCATTGTTTACTTCCTGGGTACTGTGACGTGTGAATACCCAGAGGCAACGCCCAGAGCTTGGGCCGCACCCTCTGCCAGCATTTCACGAAACAAAGCTTCACAAACCTTTCAGGATTCATGCCGGATATGTACAGCGTAGGGCACTGAAGAACGATGCTGTTCCTACTTTGTTTGGACCAGCGGGAGATTCGGGTACACAACCTGTAAGTATTCATTGTTGTTTGTGTATTTATGATGTTTAAAACAAACAAGGTATCTACCACGACTGTTTAAATGGGTAAACGTTTTTCGGGCTGCTAAGTTGGGATCGTGGAGAAATGCTCTCCGCAGACCCATTCTCACAGCGTTATAAACCTTTTTCTTACTCAATATCAAGCCACACTTATTGTTTTTACTTCGG